GTAAATACCATATGGCAGTGTTTACACATAAGATCATATCTTCTCGCTCCCCCTTGTATATGAAAAATTTGTTTTCAGAAGAAGTAATTCAGACATTCATTTCAGACACAAAAAAAGACTAGAGATCCCGATGTATAAAACAACTTTATTTCGTAGTTCTTACATTTATAATGCTATCATGATTTATAACAATATAAAGGATTGGCCAGTAAACAGATTTCGTAAGCATATGAAACAGTTTTATTGGTCATTGCAGTACATGTGGAAAAGTTAGTTTAGTATGTATGTCAGCCAGCTATCAAGTTCGTTTGTTTCGAGGCATCTTTAACTGCTTGTCAAATTTTCGTTTGGTTAGGTGATGTTTCCATTTATTATTATATATATTGGGTAGGTTAAGTAGAGTAGCCAAGAGCTAGACTTCGCCTACGTAGAGGTCACATTATATTGTAGTTTTTATTATAATGTGACTAATAAAGACATTCCTATTATTATTATATCATGGACATTTCCAAAAGAAGCTCCGAACAGTTGAGACCAACCGCATGTCATTTAAGTTTTTCTGATTAATAAATCATAGTCAAAGCTCGCTATATGAAGCTGATTTCAAGGTCACTTCAAGGACTAATTCAGTGGAGAGGTAAATAAGTTTTTGCTGTCGTGCAGTCAAAATCAGAGATGAGTTTGTCTCTAGAAAGGTATTTGAAGGGCACTTTAAGGCAACAGAAAAGGTAAATTCAGAAAAGTTAAATAGCCATATCCCATCACGTGCAACAATATGGCATTATATAAAGTTACATGCGATAATAGTTTGCCACACTTAGCAAACACTGATACTAGATTTTATGAGACGGTACTTCAAGAATCACAAACATAATTTATTTTAATCAGGGCAAAGGGTGGACCGTATCAAAAATCTCTCTGAATTAATATAAAGAGGTCTAGCTGAAAATAGTAAACCGTTAAATTGAAATGAAAACCGCAATAATGACAGATTACTATTACATCAAAAGAAAGTATATACTCTATGGATTAAGATCCATCTTCAGATGTTCACATATTTTTAACACACATCATAACAGAAGACACTGTAACTGTAAGTTTGCCGTAAAAGAGCATTGTCGAATGATACACAAACAGCAAATTTAATAGTGTTCCATGATAAAGGTACCGAAAGCAAATTTTTGATTCCATGCGCTACTTATTGTTTATGGTATTATTAACCTTGACACAGGTCATAATTATCATTCATTTTAGATACTTTGTTTTTCAGCTTTGCATCGTATAGTTCTTATAAAAATAAGTAAATTTGCCTATCAACACGTGCACCAAAGTCGCTAGTTTCCAGGATAATAACCATACATATACAATATGTTACGATGGGTATTGCACAATTGGGTAAGTGCAAGTGGCAGGACCGCCTTAGTGTTACCTGATGTGGATAGGTCATATTACAGGTCGAATCTCTCCATTAGACAGGCCATTTGAAGGTTCATCTTATATTCACAAGTACTAATTCAATATATCTACAATATAAAATGAATAATTTCATAAGAATAAGAGAAAACAGGTCGCAAAGGTTTAACTGTTTAGTTTTGTAGCCATATTTGTCGTTGAAGATGATCTATATCAAAAAATACATTTTCGTTTCCAAGTCTCAGAGCCTTATTACGCAATTATAACTTTATCTTCTTGCAACATTTAAACGCGATAGATTTATTTGCTCCCCAGTTGATATACCTCATATATCAATTCTACTTTCTTGTGTATACATAAACAATAAATAGACGTACATTTACTGTCAGTAATTCGTCGAATTGCTTAATAAACTCACAAAGACATCTCTTTACTAGTCATCTGTGAGATAACGTCCGTCGTCTGTCTGTCGTCCCTCGTCAACAGATGTATTTATATAGCTATTAGTGCAATGGCAAAATTAAACGAGTTGATCAACTCATAGAAACAGGACGGCTTCTCGTTGCTGTTGTCAAGAATGTTCGTCTCATCACAGAAACATTTAAGGTCAAGCTGTCTAGATAACTAGCAATCACGTCAAATATACCGATGATTGGTCAAATAGAAATTTGAGGCATGAAATGCGTTTAATTGGGGACAGAAATTTTTGGTTACAAAACTAAATGATGTAATATGCCACAAGCCACAAGTGCCACAGCGGAGAGCACCCGCGGAAACTGTAATTTATAACTTCATGATAACAGAAGTGATTCTCAAAACCTGTATGTTATCACATAACTATTTAACTTTGAGGGTAGGAATACTACATGCTTCAATTTAGTAACACAAGAGAAATTACTGCTTGAAATTCAATTTTTTTTAACCTCTAACTGCTCTTTGACCAATCTTCGGTACATTTGACATGGTTGCCAGCCTGGCCCCAATTTGAATCGGACTCCTGCGAGTTATTTTAAAATAGATAAACTGACCCTTTCACCTATGCACATTTTTTACATTCCCTACATTATTTTACATTTGACTTAAAGCTTTCCCCGTACATTTGCCCTTAAAACACGGCACGCGTTCGGTCGGAACGAGGCGACGTTGAACTTAGATGGTAGATGGCGCTTATGGCATGTTTGCTAGTGTGGTTCAGCAGCGTTGCCAGATGGTCGATATTTCGGGTAGGGAAGGAACTAGCGTTAGTATTGTGAAATGGGTGGGAGCTACGGAGTATGGACTAATTATTTGGCTGACCTGAGCCATTTTTTTGTTAGCCATGTTTGTAGCTAGCTCCAAGGGATAAGGTATAAGCCACATACGGGAAAAGAGTACAGTACAGTTAGCTGAATTCGTAGTATGTTCAATGATTTTCTTTTAGTAAATTTCATAGTTTATTGATTTTATCATTTCACACGTATTATATCTTTTTTTCTCAGCGACTCAGTATTGTGTCGAAATATTTTTAACACTAATATTATAGTATTATTAACGACTATCTCAGAAAGTTCCTCAAAAAATATCGCTGGTCCCTCGTAGAGTTGGTTCCGCCCATTGGCAACCAGCGCCACCTTGTGATTTCTTTACGTGGTTATTGGTTTCCTATCAAGATACCTTGTTTTAAAAACTTGCGTCTACAGACGGGCCAGCGTCCTTTTTTTTTTTTCTTCTTTCCGTTGAGGTTATGGTTGTGCGTGGGTCGTTTCGTTTGTAATAATTTCCAGATTCTGGGATATTAACGCCTCAAACACCAGATTATGGAGAAGCATCCTTTATTTTGTACCTTACGTTTAGTTGTCTTGGTTTGGGTACTACCCCGTCCATTTTCTAATGGGATTTTCACTTTCAGCGTGGAAAGGCATTGCGGAGAACCACCATTCACACTCCTCCAGCTTTGTTTTGTAGTTGCCTTGTAGTTGTTTTACAGCTGATATTGCTGGAAGCCACCCATTCCCCTTGACAATGTATATATACGACAACGTCCTGGTTGAAAATCTGTGACTACAAACTTTAATAATGGCCAAAGTTCCACAATTTAGTTATCTGTCGTAGTGTTTCGGCAAAGATGTTCCTCCGACTTGTCAATCATTTCGCACGCAGTTTGACAACAATTTAAGATATATACTAGGAGGAACTAGTTTTATGATATACATACAAGATTTTTGTGTTGCATATGAAGAAAGGGGTAAGAGAACGGTTCCATAGTACCAACATCGATTTTATGGGTGTGCAAATATCGTAAAATTAAAGCTACTACCATGACCTCTGTGGATACCTATATTCCTGAACTCTACTGGATCCTTTACATCTTTAAAGCTGTTCATTATTGAATGTTGTACTAAAGACATTTTTAATCAGGAGATCATGATGTAAAACATACTACAAACTCAGTCAATTCCTCTGTATGTTTTGTGCGGCATTCTTTTTCGATTTTGATGGGCTAATTAGGCGACCGAACAAAACCATTATTGGCTGGAACAAACCGATGACAAAAATGTAAAAAATTGACCAAGCAGTAGTGCAGAATGGACAAATCCCTTCAGACTTACAGTCCCTTACACTGCTTAGGATTTTTAAATTTATAATTTTTTATATAGTATAGGGAGTGTCAGACCTATCTACTTAACTGTTTTGTTACCAGTATGTATCATAATCTTAATCCTTTTTCATCTTAAAAAATAGCACCTCGCACAGACTCCAAAATTTAATCTTTGTTTCTCACACATGTGCATGATCATCAATTTAAATATTTATCCATTTCAACTGTGCAATATTTGATCTCAACATTAATCTTTATAGCACCGTTTCGCAAATGCCTGTGCCGGAAATTAAAATTATAATTACTCACTGATAAAGAGCTAAACCAGCCTACTTTAATGCACGTTCAATTAATATATGGTTTTCTGTTGTAAATGAGTAATAATATATTAATTAATGCACAGTAGAAGGATCAAAAACATGAGTCAATAATTAGAGTGGGTGATAAATGAATACCTTGCATATTTTGTCATTTACTAAGCGGTTTCATGGGTGTTACAGTATGTATTAATAACCATAAAAAATAAATGTTTTAATGACGTCTCTATGGAATACGAAGTGTCCACCATGGGTATTTTCAATGTTATCCAAACGAAGTGTCGAGGCATAATCAGGTTATACAGGGTGATTCACAAGTCGTGACCAAAAATGAAACATCATACACAGGACCGCATCTTCATTAAAAAGATTGAAGTTTAAAAATATAAAACATTTTTTTTAATATCTTCAAAACCGTCAACTGGAATGAATTACACTTTGGTATGTCGATTTACCTATTTTCCACATTCAAAAGTCTGTACTTAAAATTAACGTGCACCAGTTGCGGAGATACAGCGGATTAGTGTCATTATTTTTTCAAATAAAAATAGTATGCAAAACTGTTTTTTTTTTCGTAACGCGCAGATACGGCAAATTACTTGCAATTTGTAGACTTTTAATACTTGTAGTGTTCGTGTTAGCCCCAGCTAACTTCTTCATATCGCTGCCTTATCAAAAGAATATTTTCTCACCTGATTCCTGACGCTGCTAGCCAGCAAATGCCTCTGCAACGTCAGCCAGTCCTTCTCCCTCAAGATGGCCGCCACTTTCCTGCTATCCACCGATCTCGTTTTCGGCACCCCGTCTCCAAGGACGTTGTCCAACTCTGCAGCCCCGCCCACTTGCCGCCTCCGCTGGTAGCCGTGGGCGTCGTTTGTGGCATCTGAGGGCGGGTACTTGGGAGGGGCGGTGACCGCAGGGCCGTCCGGCGACGAAGGGGCGGAGCCTATGGGAGTGGACGTGATGGCACCGCCCCCTTTCGTCACGAATTGCAGGTGGAGGTCGTGGATGCGGGAGTTCACCTCGCCTGGAACAAAAAGAACTGCATTATTTCTCAAAATATTCTTGAAGTTTGAGTAGAGAATAGCAAGTTGACCTAGCTAAAAATGAGTATTCAAACCCTGTGATTTTCAGTTTTCAAGCTGCAGATACTACTCTTAGAGTTAACGAGTTTTTGAAATTTCAAGAATGTTCATATTTTAGAGCATCTGGAATCCGTTTCATAAATTTGTAATTCTGGATTTGTATGTGTGCGTATGTCGAACAACACGTTGTACGAATTAGGACTCCTTAATCACATTTTTCAAGACTGGCACATTAAGGTAGTACCAGCACGATCGTCTGAGGTGAAATTGTTTCCCAACTGCAAAATCAACAACCACGCTTACCCTCTATGACAAGCGTCCGGATGTGACACAGAAACTGTGAATTTATGGACTTTCTTGCTTAATATTTAAAAAACTAATTAGAAAATTACTCTCCAATTTTTGAATAGTCTTTAATTTTTCTAAAGTGTCATCAACAACGGTTTTATCAACTTCCAGCCAGATATTTCAAAAACCCATCTTCTTCAAATTTAGGGTATCTAACATTTTAGTGTCTCTCAAGTTTCATATCACCAGTATTTTAAATATAATTTTGTTTCTGTCAAAAACTGAAATACTGTGAGAAGACATTCTTTCTCATAACAAGCATACATTATATGAATAATACCAGGAACTAAACGATAGACTTCGTTCCAACTACGCAGAAACATTTCTCAAAAAAAAAAAAAAACTAATATTACAGATATTGCAGGCAGCAACGGTGGCCGCAGTAGTAGACTCTTCGGTCTACTGATCAGTCGCCGTGCGCTGTGCGGGTTCGAGTCCCGTCCTAGGAGAAATTTTTCTCTTGGCTATGGATGTTGTGATTGTCCGTAGGTGGTAGATGGTCTCTGACTGTCGAACGCGGAGGTACCACCCGGCGGTTCTCATAGGCGGAGCCAGAATGTGTGCATGTTGCATGCACACGTGTTCCCTCGCCAGAGTCCGAGAGTCCGTGTGGCGTCCCCCCCTTTCCCATGCATCCCCCTATAGCCCTACGGTACCAATGGGTACTTAGGCCTTAGGCCTTCGTGGTAGTTGGAGTATAAAAAAAAAGATATTTTCAAAATTGTATCCAAATGCAAGTAATCTCTAAACTATGTTCAAAACAATAATAACACCTTCCACAATAATTCTGATCACCCCTCGTACGTTTCAGTATTACACGTAATTGTCCGCATTCTCTCACACTGCAAAAAAGGAGGAAAAACAGAAAAAGCCGAGGAAAAGCTCATCAATAGCCCAACGATAGCAATTAGTCAACCGAACTGTAATTACGCTTTGCGATTCTCTTGAAGAAAATCCGATGTAGTCATAGCCGTCGAAGAGGTTTTTTTCCAGAAGAAGCTTACCCCGTGATTGTATATCTAAATCAAGGTATTATAATAATAGTTGGTTTTAATTATTAATCAGTATTGAGCACGATAGTCTGACAAAGTACACGCATTGGGAATGAAACTTAAACAAATGGAGTAACTAAATTTGGTTTCAAATAAATTCTAACAAATTCTATTCATCCTAATTTTACCTCCAATCCTTTATCAATAAACAATCTAGTCGTGAGGATAGAAGCATCAGCGTGTTTTTGACTTACAATGGTTTTAAAAAATAAGTAAAAGATTAAAGTCATATGAAATAGAAAGGATTTTATTTCACGAATCAGCATCACTGACGTCACTCCTGTATGAGAAGAGTTTTCACTAATGATGGTACTTCTGATAGATAGGCGATCGACTGATTTCTCTGCCTAATACGTTCTTTGGGACCGTTTCGTCAGTCGTTCCTACTTCGCTTTTATGGCCTAACTGATTTTCATAGTTTTCCCTTTCCTTCAGAAAGACAGGGGTGTGGTCCAAAATGGTCATGGTCATGGAATTATTATTTCTAGATTTCTCTTTCGTGTTGGGTGTCAACGCTCTACAATTTTGAGGTAATATTTTGGGCTGTTACAAATTTCTATTTGCATCATGCTTTTGATTTTTACCATCTGTTCTATCAGTTTGAAAGTTCAAAAAGAAAATATAACCTCAAAATAGCAGAGCGTTGACACGGAATAGTAGAAATCTAGATAATAATTCCATGACCATGAAGGATTTTGGACCATTTCTGAAGGCGAGGTAAAACTATGAAAATACGGCACTTGAACATACTCCATTAACTCCACAAAAAACTCCAAATTTTGAAATATTGTTTTCCCGTCGAAATCACATGTTTCTGGACGAGATTATATCGATAGTGCCCGTCATAACAACCTTCCGCCAAAATTCCAACTGAAACTAGCGCCCAGACTCGGAATATTCAATCGTAAAGTCTATTTATCCAAAAAGACATTAAACCAAAACAATAACCAGCGTACATTCAGTACGTGACCAGCACGTTGACCCACTTCTAGAAACGGGGAGCATAACTGTTATTGGACAGAATCGGTCAAGCCCCATACAGAATCAATGCCAAGCCCTGGAAGGTGGAGTGGGAGGCGACACGGCGGTGCATGCAGTCTCGATGGCAGTATAACGTGCTCGACTTTCTTCAATAAATGGACTATACTTGGGACGACTTTAGTTGAACTATAAAAGTTATTCAATATGTGCGTCTAGCAATAGTGCACCGCCTAAGCTGCTGAAGGATTTTACAAAAAGCGTTGGAAAAACTCGTTTGTAGTAACTAAAACCCGGTTAGAAATACATATTTTAGTGGTAATTCGGGTGATGACATATAACAGGAGTGACACCATCAGTACTGTAGGTTCGTTTACGCAGGACATTTTGAATTATTAATTCAAAACAGGTAAGGAGCAAAAATACTAAAAAATGATAGGCTTTCATGAACCAGAAAACTAGATATTTTTCAAAAACGGTTAGAGTTAGGAATATGATATTACGCATGGGATGAATTTAGAATCTTTCAAAAACTGAGTGATAAACTGTTTTCCATTCAGAATAAGCAACATGGTATCTACTTCCGGTACAACCGGAAGTGCCAGTATTTTAAACACGTTATAACATTTCCTCATATCGGTTATTATACCATAATTCCAAGTTTTCATAATTGTGTAAAGTTGACTTATAGAGTAATCGATCGCTGCAGTTCTACGTGGGTCACCCTGTATATAAGTGTGATTGTCTCACAAGTCTGTTAGTATCACGTCTGAACCACAATACGGACAGAAGTAAACAGTTGTACACTTACTAATTGATAATCGAGAAAGGTTTGTTATCAACTACTGTCATGACAATTACCAAAATCTCCACCGTCAAGCCGGCAACAGCGCGGTCTGCCATCGCCCCATTCAACCTCTGACCTTCAAACCATACAAACGTTTTATTTTGCAGCGGCTGTTACCAGTGACCTCATACGCTTGAAACTGTTACTAACACAAAACATTGTTCTTAAGTAATGCTATAAAGTTTCGTTTTGTATCTTTGATGACAGTAAACTGGCAATTAACCTACATGCTTAGGAAATTTGGTCACTTTATTAGTGGTGCCACCCATATGTTTCGATGGTAAAACGGCGAGGCGGAAAGCTAGTACTATATGACAGCGGCCTTTAGAAACGCCGGTGCTTTGCCACTTTGTACGCCCATGGCAAGCGCTATTTTTAAATGGAAAATAATCCGTTCTTCGTTCGGATACAATAGAGTGCACTGGCTGAGTTACTATTTGTATTAGAGAAACTCGAAATAGATGTACCAGGAAATGTGCTCATCGTGAACCATTACGCAGCTATGTGCTATACTTATAATTTATTGTTGTACACGCACCCGAGTCTAATAAAATATAATAAAACACGCTAGTTAAAGTTTAGCAAGTCAAACATTCCTTTACGCTGATGTACGAAACTGTTAGTACAAGAGACTTAGGAACTTGTTGAACAAATTAGAGTTTGTTAGAGCCGTTTTACACACAAGAGAATTACTCAGAAAATTATGGTCATAATTATACCGAAAATTTTTGCTGTCATATTACATTCTTGTGAAATTTTCATGGTAAAAATATAAAACACGTTCTATAGAATATGCGCGAGAATCGACGCAGAGGGTTATTTCCGTGCATGTCAACGTCAGCAACATAACCTCACTTAACATTTGTGGGTGTGGTCCTGTTCGAGTCGTATGAAGAAGCGTTTATTGTTATTGTTTATTCATAATGTTGTGGAATCGGGAAGAAGTTACACTGTTGTTGGAGTACCAAAAATGGCCAAACCTGTACAAGGTGAAGCCACGCAATTACAAAAACAAAAATTTGAGGCGTCAGGCGCTGGATGCGATAGTCCAAGCATTGAGAAATTTTATAATATTAACCAAGATCTCGAATTCAAAAATAAATTAAAATGAACGACGTCTGTTGTCTTTCCGATTATATTGGACGTAGTACCCGTTAAGGTTATGTCCATTCGAAATATTCGAAAATATTACTCTAATACGCAGGCGTATCATATGAATTACTCTGAAATTTTGTTTGCTTGTGACATACAGGTTATAGAGAAAATCTTCTATATTTTTTCCATGCAAATTCCGGCATCATTATTACCATAATTTTCGGAGTAATTCTCTTGTGTGTAAAACGGCTCTTAAAGAATTTTATTCATAATTTTCCAAAAATTTTATCTCTGCGGGATATCTTGCATCCAAAAAATATGTTCACTTTTTTCTGCAAAAGAGAAATGGTGTTGCTTGTTCAAAAATAAAGTTATACTAAGTCCTAGCGTGAACTTTTTCACGCATGTCTTGTGTATGTATGGTGGACAAGAGTAATTTATTCTATCTCACGGGCTACAGTCCAAACGACTACCATGAGAACAATCTGTCAGGCACCTTGGAGTCATCGTCGATAAGAGGTTGACCTGACAGATACAGACTAATATATTGAGAACTTTTCGGTAGCGTTTCATGGTATATTGTGCAGAGATTCAAAATTAAGTTTAGGCTGTATAAAAGGGTCACTAGTCCTACACAACAGAACCGTACGTGTCAAATGCACACCGATCTTGCCATCCTATTTCTAAGAGACTACGTACAGCAATAGGCACATTGACGTTATACTCAAGACGAATAGTACAGCAACCCTCAATTGCGTGATCCAGTAGACTACAGAGTCGACCAAGTTCGGAAACACTCCCGGCCGCGGCTCGTGCTGCCATAAAAATTAAATTGTGAATTTCAAACATACCAGAAACCAAACTTATAACACTGATAAACACACGATCTGTGACATGACAATTTTTGGGTGTATCTTATGTATTTTGAGATCCTTAAATCAAATCTAAAACAGAATTTTTCTATCACCCATAGATATTCGGTAACATCTACTTTTATGAATTACAATACGTAACGCTCATATTGATGCATTTCTCGGCGTTTATGCGATGACGTACATATATAATGTTAAGACCTGTCTATTCCTGTTTATTATATGCGAGCTATATGTTTAGAGAGCATATTGCTGAGATGTTCTGAGTACTGTTAATTTTTGATGTTGTTTTTAGTTTTATTGTGATCGAGACTAGCTTTATGGACAATGCCGAGAACTTTTGTAAATAGTGAGAACAGTTTTTGTTATGTGAGCGGAGAGCTAACTTTTAAATGCCAAAAAACTGGTTTTACTCCCCTTGTGTTGAAAGAATAGGAACTTTATTTTGGAATTACAGTTGGCGACCATGATAAACTATGGGCCCCTCATTTATATGTTGTAAGATTTGTGTAACGGTGTTAACAGGTTGGTTAAAAGGTGACAATCGTAAAATGCCCTTTGCGGTACTAATGGTTTGGAGAGAACCGAGAGACCATACTACTGATTGCTATTTTTGCCTCACAAATATTAAAGGTATTGGACCAAAATCGAAACATACTGTTAAGTATTTTAATTTACCATCAGCTTGGCGGCCCGTTAAGCATAGTGATGAACAATCTGTCCAAGTTCCACCAGAATCTTGGCTTTAGGATGAAAAAGTCGAATCCACTGATCTGAAAGTGATGGTACAGAAAGCGTAAACATTTTCGATCCTTCGTTTGACCTGACAGGATGTTCAACAGCGCCGCATTTGATCACTCAGGGCCAACTTAATGACTTAGTTCGAGAATTAAATCTCTCAAAATCCTAGTTAGAACTTTTAGCGTCAAGATTAAAAGGATGGAATCTTCTACACGGTGATGTTAACATTACTTTTTACCGAAAACGGCAACAAGACCTCACACACTGTGACAGGAAATTTCTACCGGATCGCTGTGAGGAACCACACGAATAGATCGTCCAAACGACTTGACACAATTTGCCACATGAAGAATTCGGTGTGTTTCTGCCAGTGATCTGGACTCCGACCAGCCGAAATGAAAGTCTATTCGGTAGAATTGGACCATCCATCAAAACCGAATGTGAGTTCAAAATCGAGAAAAAAATTATCTCTGGAGTGGTAAAGGTAATTTTTTACATGTAGTAGAGACACTGAACCACTGATGATTTAAGATCAGATTCATTTGCACCAAGTCCTCGACAGAATGAACATACGCTTATCGAAAGCAAACGATCGATGAGGAAGTTGAATTTCAATATTATCAAAATAAACGATCCGTGTTTTATACGCCTGAGTTTATGCGTGCTTAATAAAGCAGAGCGTGCGTCATGACTATCAGGTGTAACAAATCTGTTTTTAATTAGAGATATCAGCTATGAAGAGTCTCAGGTGCAGTCATTATTATTTTGAGCGGGCGCTTGCATACATAAAATGAACGATGTGGATTCTAATTACGTATCGATGAAGAAAATATTATTATGGGTTAGAGCGAGAGTGTTTTATACTCGTTTAGGTTCGTTGGGATGATGTAATTGATAGTTTATCTTCTAACATAAAACGGCACTCAAGAGTAAGAATGCGAATCGACTGCGCTGATTTACTTGCAGATATTGGAGATACTTTTTTATCGAAGTCATTCATATAGTCCGGTGTTGTTTCCTTACTTTATCTACGGTGAGTTAGTCTACGAGGCAGGAATATTTTCCAGTTCCTGTGAATTGCTCGGATGAATCGTTAGATTTTTCCGGTCGCTACTACTAAAATAATGTACATCTTAAGTTTACACTTATTTTGAAACAAATCGACTTGATGTCACAATTAATTATTCTTCCCGAAGCTCTTTATTTTTAACTTATTATTGAAGATCGCATCATTGATGTCTAAACTTTCCTGGATTGTAAATTATTTTATTACTCGTATAGTATTTCTAATCCAAATTGAGACTGATAAAAAAACAAGTCCAAAAAATTGGGAAGTCGCATGTAAACAGATAGTAAGCAATACTACAAAGCATAAAACCACTGAATCGAGAGGGTGTGTAAAAACGCTACAATGGAATAACCGTATCACGGTCGTGACTATTACGTAAAAAAATAAAAACAAATATTTTAGTGGCTTACTACGGTACGTTTAAACGTTTCCTAACGGTTCCACGTTCTATGAAGTACGCACATCTCTATACTCATCCCCATCTCTAGTAAAATTCCTGTCCTTTACAATCTCCATCTACAAATATTTCTGGTTAGAACTCTTTTTTTTCATCGGAGCCAGCATACAGATAACATGTATATATTTCCTTTTTCTTCCAACAATGTGAATTAAAAAAGATCAGAATGTACCAGATATAAAAATATGTACGTGGAATTAGGAAAAATTACTGAGGGCCACCCCCTTTTCTTTTGGGATCTTATGGAACCATTCCTTTTGGCCCTTACTGAGGCCTTGGATGTCAGCCTTGGGTTACTACCCTACTCTTGGAGTTACCCTTGGCTAACCCTTATTGAAGCCTTATTTTGGACATATGTATTGTCTTATTTTGGACCATTGCCTTGGCTTTGCCTACCTACTTGCTTTTGGCCCAATCTGTAATTGGACCTGACTTTTTGAGACTTGCGAGCCTAGCCGCATAAGATCGCCGTGACAAAAGCTGGTTGGTTGTTGGCAATTTTAAAATGGTGTTAATGTTAATGTCAGCTTTCGCAAATATTGTATTGCTGGAGATAGCAAGGACAAGATTGATGTTCGAAGATAATTTATTTCAAATTTGTGGAAATAATGAGCACCATTTACATGTCCTACATTTTTTCATAAAAAGTTTTTTTTAACCAGAATAACCGTTGTCAGCTCAGCTTGGTATACAGATTTTCTGGAGCAACTCCAGTTCTGCGGATTCAGGTATTGACAGCAATGAAATATATCCGCGGTAGCAGATCTTTAGAGCGGTTTTAGAAAAAATTATAGTACATCTGTCTTCGAAGAAAATGCCACTAGAGTTAATTTCGATAGACTATTCAAAAGCCTTTGACCGCTTCAATCATAAATGATTACATGATAAATTAAATTACGTTGGACTTGACAATGTATCCATTTCATTTTTCGTCAGTTACCATCATCAAAGAACACAGTGAGTTTTTGTCAACCAAGTAATGTCTCCCGTGACAATAATTCCCTAGGGCGTTTCTCAGGGCTGCGTATTGGGGCCGCTGCTATTGCTATATACTCTAATAACCCGTCTTTTGCAGATGATACGCAGTTGCTCCATGGTTTTAATCCAAATAATGTCAATCATACTGCCCAAATTTCACAAAATCATCATAGTAAATTAATTAAGTACTCTTCGGATCATAATCAACTTATTAATCCACAAAAATTTAAGATGATATTTTAAGCCCAAAGGAAAAAAAGACAATGAAACAGAGCTCAGATTAATAACCAATTCTTCAATTTTCTGAGCCTGCAAAAGATTTTGCTGTTTTCTTTTATACAAAATTAAGGTTATTGAGTATGTTAGAAATCTTTCACAGAAAACCTATCTAATACGTATTTAATAAAAGTACCAGAAATCCCTAATCTCGGAATAAAACCAAAATAAAGGAAGTAGCATCTGTCAAACTCAAAATATAACTGCATAACTTGGAATTTTGTAATCTGCCGAGTTTAAAAAATGCGGTCGGTTAAGATGTTGTATATCGGGTTCATCAATAGACTTTGGTCTTTCAAAGCCGAAAACATGGTGACTTTGTCATGTAACGAAGAGTAGCATACAGTCGAGGCATTTTAAAAAATCTAAACTTTTGAACGAAAAGCGGACATCGTTCGGGCGATACGCGAAAATCTACCATCTTTTCGACTTTAACAGCCGTTTTGAACGTCCTCGTAATTCTAGTTTCCGAAACAGTATTGTTTTTCGATAAAACCTTTCGCAACCCGTTGACAAAAAAAAACGAAAAATCGCGCCGACGTGGAAACACCCGATCCAGACTTCGAGTGAAAAAAAAAACAAATAACAACCTGGTCAAATAAGGTTGATATTTGTTGGAATGGCACGGTATTGACTTAATGTAAGCCAGTTTTTCCACAAAAAAAGAGCGAATGCTGAAAAATTTTAAAAATATAAGACTTTTGAAACAAAAAAATACCATTAGTAGGTCTTGACGTGACATATTTGAAGCTGCAGGATTATTCTTCAATTTCTGGACATTCTTTCTGCAGGAAAGACAAAATAAGAGTGGGCCGGGGCTGAGGTTCCGGATACGGTTAATGCTACTAACAAACTAGTGGCATCTTACCAAGGATGTGTCAGTATGTAAATAGAGTTAATATTCGGGAGGCTTGCCCTATGTATCATCTACTGACCTCATATGTTTCTAAGACTCACCTCTTTGCGTGACGACGGCCCTCAGCTGTTCCTCCAAATCCATCTTAGCAGCCATCAGACTATCCAGATCCTCCCTCAATCTGGCCGCTCTCGCCCTCCCAGCAACCGCCTCGGCTTCCGCCTCTGCCAACCGATCCAACAACAGATCCCGCTCCCTTCTCAACAACCGCACGTCCTCCGCAGAGGCGGGACGAAACAAATGCCGCTCGAAAGCCACGCCCACTGGCCCGTCGGCGACGCCTATCTGACCGTCTGCCGAATGGTGGGCGGGCCCGATCGAGTGGGCGGAGCATCGCAGTTGGCCGTGCAACGCCTCCGCTTCGTCTTTGAGCCGCGTGCCTTTGCGGTGGATGATGTCAAGTAGATGGAAGAGTTCGTCTTCGACTTCGTCCGTTTCGGCGGCGCCTGGAACAAAGGAGATGGTGGTTAAAAATGGTGTAGATTGACAAAATATGGAGTTTTATTCAATAAGCGGAAATGTCAGTATCTAACAGACGGACCAAAATTAAAGACCGATATTTTGATTGACGTATTCGAAATCTGCGTACAAAATTACCCCAGTGCACCGAGTTCCGTGTAACAACAAAGAAAATTAAAAAATCCCAATATAGAATTATTTGCAACCTTTGTGGAAATCCGAGTCTCGGGTAAGTCAGGTATGCTGATTACGAATTTGTTGTCAGTTTTCGGTGAGATCGACGAGGATCCTCAAAAAGTTCAATTTCCCTGCATCAAATAGCGATTTGTTTCCTTTTAGCATGTCTTAATGGTTCCAGTCTAAAAATGTTGATGAAAGTTTTAAAGGTGTATTATTGGATGAATCTTCAGAAAATTCTGAAAGTGGTAAATTCAATGCGTAGATCACAAATCTGATATCGGCTATGTAGTGAGATTGATGAAGACTCCAAAATCTCCCATTATCGAACCCCAACTAGGAGTTGACATTATTGTTCATTTCAGAAATCATCAGAGTCAATCATAAAGATAACTGGAGCACAGTCCAACATCACACGTTAGACCACGAAGTAGAAACATAAATGAGAGGTAAACGGTGTTTACCATATATTTTAATCGCAAAAGCATTAAGTATAATAAGTTTGGTCGGATGAACTATACATATTCTTTCAAACAGTCAATCCGCACCTAAAGCACTTAGCACTTCATCTAATCTACATGGAAAAGGGTGCAGAATTGTAAAGAAGCTGTTGGAGAGGGAAATACTGTCGCATATGGATACCACTACACACATTCACAAGAAACCACCTACAGTATATTCAGATAAGAGATAGACCGGATGTAAACAAAAGGTTCGGGTGATTTTCACGCTAACGCCGCCGTCTCGACGTAAAACAGGAGCCCTCATTGGTCAATTCGCAATTAAATGCCTATGCCGAGCGGCAGAGCAGTCGTATCAAGGCAGAGTCACATTCAGGTTCAGACGTGTTACGTATGTCGTGTGCATCATTGCAATTTGATATTTCTTTGGACGTTTTCGTTTGTTATCTTATTAAGTTGTTGAGTTTGTCGTTGTTATTGTTATACCTTGTTATTGATTGTTATTGTTATCAACTGCTTGCGCAAAATGCCCAGTAGTACAGATACTGCCGATGAAGTTGTAAACTCCTGTAGTCCCCCTAGGAAACGCTCTAAAAAAAGACACCTGAGTGCAGAAATGAAAGAGGTCATTTTGAATATATATAAGATCGAGCGCGAGGAGAACGAGGCATCAACCGTCAAGAAATTGTTG